TGCGATCTGGAACTTTTGTCAACGTATGCACCACTGTTCCAGGCAAAATGGGCCAATAACGCCCATGTTCATGTATCGATACCGCACTGCGGGTCCCATATCTCCCTCGCGAATAACACGAGGAGAGAGCCATGCAAAAGAAGAACAAGAATACAGTCCTTTAGAAATGGCAGCTGGGCGCACATGACCCCATTATTGCTGTGATATTTTTTGGGGTGTCACAAGTTGATGATGTGGCACGTCATTGTTACCATGTTTTACGTTGTGATACATTCGTTTATGGACTTGTTGCAGAGGAGGGGCCTGTTTGCTCCAGTTGTCTAGAAACGACTGAAGAAGTACATCCTACATTGGTAACACCGATCTGAGAACCAGAATTGAGACTGATTGCCAGCGACCAAATTTGAAACTTTCTCCTTGGGATGATCAAAACAATGGTAATCATTGAGGGCAGGAGAGGGATCATGCAAGCAGGAACAATGCAAGGAGTGAGCAACGGGTATTCAGCGATATTTCAGCATGTTCGCAGACGTGCTGCTATTTATACGCAGCCAATGCACTGAAACAAAACTTGTCCAAAGTTGCCCGAATAGATGTCTCCAAACTTGGAAAAGACACAGAAACGGGATTGGCAATGAAGCAACACCGAAACTCGGGTAAAAACATAGTTCTACTTTCTCACCCATCCAGTACGTGTGGGCCGCGTCCCCATTTAGATAATAGAAAACCGGATATATCGTGCATAGAAGGTCCCCTTTTGGACATCATTAGCCCTCGGCGCTATCGGTTATTGCCACCAGGTGACACTACAAGGTTTGTGTTTGTGTGTTTGGGCTTCCACCAGGAGACACAGACGCATCCGCCGTTGCCGCACCATCACAAATGACAGCGGGAGCATGCAGGATTTGGAAGCTTGCATTCAGGAACAATTGAAGGATCTTGGGTTTGAGGTTCTTCGCCGAGCTGGCGGCGGTCGGCCTCCATAGGTTTTGCAACAGGGTTGAGCTTTGAGTGCTGCTTTGATGCATGTCAAAATGGACGCCTGATTTGGCGGCATGTTGCTCCATGCAAAATGCGCGTAATGTCAAATCAATTCACGATGTTGTTGCAGCCCAAGCCGTTCAGGCCAAGGAACGGTTTAGGGGATTTTGACCTGTTTCAAGGCATTCAAATCCCTCTCTGATGCTTGTCGTGGTGCCATTGAAACAGTCTTCACTTCCATTTTGCATCATTCTCCCCTTAAAGCTGTGTGCAGAGTGAAAGGAGGTACGCTACACAGTGGGCGCCCCAATGTTGGAAGTGATAATTATGACAAACAGTACACGGCCAAGACTAGCGCAGATCTTGTTTTGACCTTTAGCATGCTTTGCGCTCAATAGTCGCCTGAAAAGAGGGTGGTGGGGGGTCAAAGCGCGATTCCTGCCTTATTCTGATTTGGTGCATTTATTTGATATCTTAGCATTCAAGGTCTCCATCCGGCAGCTACCATAATGCGTTGAAAATAACATGTTACAAGTACTAATACTTGCACAGTGGTGTGGCCTCCTTAGGGCCGCCTGTGGCAACCCCATTTCATCGGCCTTATTGAACGTTGGCCTTATTGAGGTCTGCAGCCCATTAAACGCCGCAGAAGCCATTTACGGCACATTCAACTTCATATAGTGCATATATTGATTATTTTTAAGGGTATTCTGATATCAAAATAATTTTAGTACTCCATGCGTTGCCCAATAAGAAGCGTAGTACTTTACTGGCAGCAGTGGTTGTCAATAGGCAATCATCCAATCGAAGGAGGGTGGGTTTCAACTGGGTGACCGGTGCTAAGGGGTTGCGAACGCCCACGGGCCCGCGTCAACACAGCGCTAAGGGCCCGAGTGCCCAGTGTACGCGGTACCCGAGGGTGCCTGGGCTGCGAACGGCCCCTATGGCACAATGTACTGCCGCCTAGGGGAAGAAACGGCGTGGCAAGCTTGAGCATTCACACCCCGACATTCTGATTTCGTGGACGCGGGATCCAACCTCATGGCATGGCTGTAGAAGCCCTCGCGAGTGGGGAAGCGGCGCGGCGAAGTTGAGAATTAACACACCCGTTCGTAGATGTAGAGCCAAGGTGGTGTTTTCACGCTCTTTGGCCCCCATCACCCGCATAAAAATCATAACATTCTCTTCTATTCTCAACCTCGTGCGTTTGCTGCACCCCTGAGCGGCCTCTCTTTCCGCCAGTAGTCGCTTGAACTTGTCTTTGTTCGTGCCAGAGCCATCGGCATTGTCCTTGCCCAATTGTTTGGCAGACTCCGAGTCACTCTCAGGCAAGATTTGACCTTGGACAACGTCCATAGCATCGAACGGTGGCAGCATCTCGCCCATGCTCTGCCCCTTGTCGACAATGGATCGAGGTGCATGCCACGTGGCGCAACAACCCGATCGCAGCAAAGGCTATACACATGATCCATTTCTGAATCGACATCAGGATGGACTTCTCCACAGATCCCGTGGAGGTACCCATCACACCCAGAGGGCTTGCGTATGTTGTAGCGCAGCGGGTGCGTGGGTGGGGGGGGGGGGGGGGGGGGTCATGCGGCAATCTGCACTGGATGCCTTCGAGGCAAGGCATGGCGGCCCCCCCTCACGCTCAAACTGCTGTGAACATGCCTTTCCAGTACTTTAGGTCGTGCCACCAGGTATGGCCGATTTTCACCGACCTTATTGACGGTTTGGCCTTATTCAGGGCGCCCATAACGAGGCCACCCCGCTGTGTGCGCAATATGGTGCAAGGACTAGTACTCGTAGGCCCAAGAATGCGCATGCTGAAATTTTAGCACGATTGGCTGAGCTGCACATATTTTGCAAGACTATCCCTTCACACTCATGCATGCATCGTGTGCGGCTGTCGCTGGCCGGGCAGAACAACCTGCTGATCATGTAGAAGTTTCGCTGGAAGTGGGGCGTTGTGGCGTTGCAACGTTGTGGCAGGTGTTTGGCCTTTTGGCGCAAGAGGCGAGGAGGGAACCTCCGATTAGTCATAATGGGGAGTGAGAGGGAGGGAGAGGTATAGCGCAGTGCGCGGCATCGCCTCGATCGCGCTGCCGAGTTAGAGGCCCACTCAGGAGTGCGCCGATGCAAGCAGTGTGCCAACAGGTTGATGGCTTTACTCTTCAACCGAAGAATTTGTTGTGTTTGCTGCTTTGCAGTGGGAAAGTAGCAGTTGTGAGCGCGGCGGCGACTGGACGCTTGTCACGCATCCAAGAGAGCGGGTGGACAGCATTGCAGATCCTGACGCGATGGGAAAGGGCAGCCGTCGCGTTGTTTTATCACACCGAGCGAAGGCGAGTCAACGGCTGCGAGCTGCGACCTGAAAACCACGAGCTTGCGTCCTGCACGTCAAGACATCTCAATCGCGTGCAAGAGGCGGGCAATTTTCACCCTCGTGCTCTTGCGTGTCGGTCGAACATGAGAGGTTTTGTCATGACATGGGCGCTGCTGCAGAGGCAGAAAGCGATGAAGCCATGGATTGGTCGAACGCGGATACTGGCTGTTTGAATCTACGTGCCGTTGAGGTCCCGATTGTGCAAGAATTTGCCATAGCTTTGATGGTATTTTTAGTCTCAAAGTAGTATGCGGAATGGTACAAGTATTTTCTGTATTGCTGTTTTAGCTGTGTCCGTACTTCCCGAGCCTGGTCATAGCTGCACGACCTGGCACTGACTTGCAATTCTGCAGCAGTCGCCGACATATCGACATACGAGTTTGCACGGCGGTATTGCTGGTCGGCTTGTACGTGTCCCGGCCAGCCCAGAATTTGGATTGAAGCGCCGCTCCTGTGCAGGCAGCGTGGTGCAGTAGTCGTGACAATGCTTCGCCTAGCTAAGCCTCCATTTGATAGGTTATCGTGGACTGACGGATTTGGACGTCGCACTAGCGCCTGTTTGCTGGCGTCGCCATGACGACACCGACAACTCGCATCTCCAGAGGAACATTCACCGCCCATTCTCGCAGAAGACATGGTCACAAGACTCCACGCCACTATGCGCCAGTTCAATCAATGTCCTTGCTTTCATCCGTGCCCATGGCTGAGCCGATGACGAAAGTAGCATCTGTCACTACCAAAAGTCGGCGAAATAAGCCAACCCTCGCACCCTCCACACCTGTTTCTGAAGGAAACGTCCGCTGGAAAGCTGCCTGCCAGCGAACCAGGTCGATCCCAATCCTTCCATCGTCTTTCGCAAGCACTGTCCTTGCAAAAGTGGGGGGCGTGTCCAAGCTCTTCTCTCTGGGTGAAGCGATGGCCAAGACCCAGCGGTCCCAATGTACTGGGAATGCTTGGATTCGATATGGCAATGCAAGTGTCGCTCCATTAGAAGACGCAAGTTGCTTCACAGACTGAGTCTTCCTTTCACCCCCATTATCGTGATCAGTCCAGCACCCCTCACATCACTAACCACCGCCCAGCTTCTTTGCCAGTTCATGATGTCCCTCAGCGCTCGCGTACTGTGCCGCTGTTCTTCCTTCCTGAACATAACAAACGCCGACAAAATATGATGCCATGATAAAGCGCATGACGAAACGTGAACAAGTAACAGTGAGCTCCTCCCAGCGAGGCGGACAACCGGATGAAAAATGTCAAAGCGCGTTTTCGTGCCTCGAATCGATAGGCTTGCTTTTCGTCCAGACACCAGGGGTGGTCGCATGCAATACCTAATCCCTTTGGCCTGTTGTCTGCAATTTTCCAGACAGAGTATGGGTGTGTATAAGCAGAATGTGCCATCGAAACTGACTGTGCTCGTAATCGCTCAATGGAATTTGGACGTCCGACACCACACAGCCAAATACAGCTGGGATGTCTACTTGATCGCAAAACCAAGTAGCGATTATGGAGTATTCAAATGTTCCTCTGCAGGTCTGCAAGGGAAGCAGAGCGCGCTGCATTTGCTCATATTCACAGCACTGGCGGGCGCAACGCCACAGCCAAGTCGTCGCGACCAGATTGGCACCTTGTCGGCCGACATCACGGAAGCCCCTTTGCTCAGGAGCAACTCTGCCGCAGATGTGTGGCCATCCTTTGCAGCCGCCATCAGCGGAGTCACGCCATCCTGCACATCAGCACACACCGTCATGAGCGCCTCCAAGAGGTCATTTTCCACCATGCACTTGGCGGTTGCAAGATGCAGAATAGGAGCACGAAGAACAGAAAGGTACAATTGGGCCAAATGCCCCGCCACACATTTGTCTGCAAATGCCAGAAGTGTGATTGGAGTTGCTTCAAAAGCCGTGTCTCCACTGCACATCAAAGCCATTCTCGCAACAAGGATACTCAGTCACAGGGGTAAGTCTTCAATACTCTGGGCATTGTTCGCCCAGAACAAGCACTTAGAGAGAAGCGAGGACAGAAATACGTTCTGTGGGTTGAAGAGGTGGGAATGGAGCGTGTGGGTGCGTTCAAGACCGCCAGAAAAAATGCTGTACATTGAAGTGGCCAACGAAAATGAGTCTATTCCGAAGGGTCTGAAGGTTCACATGACAAAGCTCCCCTCCTTAGGCTGACGAAAGGGGTCCCTGAGTTCATATAAATGACAACAGGACAGAAAAAATGCGCACTGCGTGGCCAGCGAACCAGCTGGTGAACCACGACGATGACCAGACAGCCCTTTGCGTGCGTTTTCTTTTGGCCAACCAGCATCGGTCAGCTTCCATTGCAAAAGCTTCATAAGGGGCCGGGGAAACAAGAACAGATGCCTGGTAGTTCTTGGCAATGATAAAGAAGCCAATGTTGCATGCGCCCATTGTCGCGTGTGCGCTCTGACAGCGCGAAAATTACCAGGCACTGTGTGCTGGTCGAATTGTATCTGGCTTTCAGCGGTTGGTCCGACATGCTGTCAAAATGACATGAGCAAATGCGCTTGGAGGGCAATCAGCTGCTGCACCACATGCATTCTTTCACTTGTCTGTGTGTCTGATGCTTGCAATGAATTTTCTTACATTGTTTGGATCCTCCAGGGCTGCGCCATGGTCCAGCATGATCCTGACGATTTCCGCAGCAGTCTGCTCGTCGTTGTTTGCGTACCATGTCTTTTGCCAAACAAGCAGAAGAGGGGTTGCTCCTGTCTGTGCATTGAGTGAATACAAGCATTTAAACACGCATGACACACAAAAATGACACACAAGCTATCAGCCAAGGTGGTGAATTTTCAAAGTCGATCAGGGATTCCACAGGCGAGGGAAAGCACTGTTTCGATTGCAGCCCTGCCAGTATTCAAATTCTGGTTGTTGATGTCGACAGATCTGATGCTCAGAGGGTGGGGTGGGGTGGGGGTGTGTGTGGGGTGAGAGGGGTGGGTGAGGATCCACTTGTCTTCCGAAAGACAGCGAACAATGGGAGCCGGCCAGACGGGTCGTCGGCTCACCAGAAACCGCTGTGATGCACGTGCATGCAATTTGCCACTGGCATCCCTCAGTCACAAAACCTTTTGGCCAGCACATAAGGTCGCACTGCGTAACAGGATATATAGCCTACAGGGTCCCACATGTATCGTGCGCATCGTCACTGGAACGAAGTATTCAATTATTTGAGCGAATATTTAAACATTGATAGGGTCCATGAAGTACAATCCCACCTCGTTTGCTATGTCCGTGCGTGCCCCATGCTTCAGCAGGAGCTCCACTGTGCTTGGGTGGCCATTGCGTATTGCATCTGAAAGGGGTGTGTCTCCATCCTGCGCAATTCGTCACATATATCAAGATCCGTGCGTGTGCTCAGCACAAAAAGTGCGCTTGACACAATATCAACACAGATTCAACACACAGGCGACGCACTTCAGTGCGCCAGGTATAACAGAACATTAGCAGTTGACACTTTCCAAAAACTGACAACAATTCAGCAGTTCTGCTGTTATTGCCTCCAAAACGAATTGCCACCACGGCTGCACGACTGCTCGTAAACGCCAGCGCTCGATCCTCAGCTGGACATTTACAGGAGCAGCAACATATCTTGGAAGCACACCTTGTCGATGTTGTCCACAGCTGCGCCATGGGACAGCAAAAGCTCCACTGCAGTGTCGTGGCCTTCCATCGCTGCTGCTGAAAGGGCTGTGCGTCCGCGCTGCGAATTGGTCACAACAGTCAGAAGGGTAACGGAGGTGTCCCATTCGGGTTGGCCGACCTCGGCTGGTGTGCTTTGGTGCCTGGGCAAGGCTGTTGGTTGGAAGGGCAGCACAAAATGCAAACAAAACTCCTCCACCGTGACCAACAACGCCTGAAAGCTGCCAAGGGGACCTTTTTGTCCTGATGACAATTGTCAACTATGGAATCATCACCTCCTGCTGCTGCGAATGCAAAAGGGTGAGTCCTAGAATGTGGGCAAAATAAGCTCTCATGAAAGGAGCTTTTCCTTCCTGCACGTGACTGTGACAATGTTGTTGATGGCACTTAAATACACGGCCACGTGGCAAATTCTACTTTTTTTGCACACATATTCAGGAGTTGAGATCTGGCAAGCACAGCCGCAAAGCCTTGACATGCATATGGCTGGCATCTTGGTTACTATTCAGTACAAGATGGCACCTGTCGACCTCCCAACACGATTGTTCCACCACCAGCTTCAATGCCTTGTGCAATGGCACACAGCGTGCAGAACTTGACCAGGTCAACACACAGATATGTAGCCACTTCAGGGTGTTCACCAGGACTTGTAGCCCCAAACCGCTGCAGGAAACACTGACATCCGCAGGGCATCCATACACATTGCAGTTGGGGGATGCACACAAGAATGAGGGATGGTGAATGCAGAATCTGTGACCGGCACAGCCCTCACTAAGCAACAGGACAGAAGCAGTCAGACGCGAGTCCCCAGCAGGCCAAGGCACTAAATGTTCGCGTTCTGCAACAACCACAAGCATGTGCACAGATGCGCGCCCTGCTGAGGAAGAAGCCAGGCAATGCCTTCTCACCTCGTTGGCGTGGTCCACTGATGCGCCCTTTGCCAACAACAGCGCCATGGTGCTCGTGTGCCCTTGGCCTGCTGCCAGAATGAGGGCCGTCCAGCCACTCTGTGCATCACACACAACGACAACTATGTCAAAGTGCTAAAGGGACCTGAAGCACTTGACTAGCACCAGCGTGCGTCGATTCGCATCTCCAACACACCAATCTTGGACAGCTCAAACGGGTGCATCATAGAGTGCAGTACATTGTGCACTGCCACTTGGATATCTCAGGAAACATGGTTACAGTTCAAATTGCCATAGCTGGAGGCCCTCTATCCACATCTCCAACACACCTGGGGCATCCTAGCGAATAAGCCAGCCCGGGTGCGCGTGACGCATGCCTCCCGGAAGAGTTCAAGCATTATAACAACACACTGAAATATGTTTGGAGATTAAGCTCCCTAAAAGCAGCACACCGCTGGTGGAAGAGGACTTCAAGTCAGCAACATGGCTGAAAACACCGGATTTGGACTAAATAAAAGCATGTGCACAGATTGCACGACATAAAAATTGCATTGACTGATTGGCTGAAGGATGCACACATTCTCGGTGCTGCGTGCTTGCGCATGATTGTGATTGTGGTGTTGTGCACGTTTCGGACAACCAGCAGATGAGTCCTGATGCCGCCTGTTGTGGATGGAAGGGCAGCACAAAATACAAACACGACCCCTCCACTGTGACAATCAATGCCTGCAAGCTGCCAAGGGGACCTTTTCTTCTCATGTCCTGCCGACAATTGTCAGCTATGGAATCACCACCTCCTGCTGCTGCAAATGCACAAGGATGAGGCATAGAGTGTAAGCAAAACAAGCTCTCACGGAAGGAGTTTCTCCTTCCTGCGCGTGACTGTGACAGTGTTGTTGATGGCACTGAAATACACAGCCACTTGGCAAATTCTACTTTTTTTGCACACATATTCAGCAGTTGAGATCCGGCAAGCACAGCCGCAAAGCCTTGACATGCATATGGCTGGCATCTTGGTTACTATTCAGTACAAGATGGCACCTGTCGACCTCCCAACACGATTGTTCCACCACCAGCTTCAATGCCTTGTGCAATGGCACACAGCGTGCAGAACTTGACCAGGTCAACACACAGATCTGTGGTCACTTCAGGGTGTTCACCAGGACTTGTAGCCCCAAACCACTGCAGGAAATACTGACATCCGCAGGGCATCCATACACAGTGCAGTTGGGGGATGAACACAAGAATGAGGGATGGTGAATGCAGAATCTGTGACCGGCACAGCCCTCTCTAAGCAACAGGACAGAAGCAGTCAGACGCGAGTCCCCAGCAGGCCAAGGCACTAAATGTTCGCGTTCTGCAACAACCACAAGCACGCGCACAGATGCGGGCCCTGCTGAGGAAGAAGCCAGGCAATGCATTCTCACCTCGTTGGCGTGGTCCACTGATGCGCCCTTTTCCAACAACAGCGCCATGGTGCTCGTGTGCCCTTGTTCTGCTGCCAGAATGAGGGCCGTCCAGCCATTCTGTGCATCACACACAACGACAACTATGTCAAAGTGCTAAAGGGACCTGAAGCACTTGACTAGCACCAGCGTGCGTCGATTCGCATCTCCAACACACCAATCTTGGACAGCTCAAACGGGTGCATCATAGAGTGCAGTACATTGAGCACTGCCACTTGGATATCTCAGGCAACATGGTTACAGTTCAAATTGCCATAGCTGGAGGCCCTCTATCCACATCTCCAACACACCTGGGGCATCCTAGCGAATAAGCCAGCCCGGGTGCGCGTGACGCATGCCTCCCGGAAGAGTTCAAGCATTATAACAACACACTGAAATATGTTTGGAGATTAAGCTCCCTAAAAGCAGCACACCGCTGGTGGAAGAGGACTTCAAGTCAGCAACATGGCTGAAAACACCGGATTTGGACTAAATAAAAGCATGTGCACAGATTGCACGACATAAAAATTGCATTGACTGATTGGCTGAAGGATGCACACATTCTCGGTGCTGCGTGCTTGCGCATGATTGTGATTGTGGTGTTGTGCACGTTTCGGACAACCAGCAGATGAGTCCTGATGCCGCCTGGTGTGGATGGAAGGGCTGCACAAAATACAAGCACGACCCCTCCACTGTGACCATCAGTGCCTGCAAGCTGCCAAGGGGACCTTTTTTCTTATGTCCTGCTGACAATTGTCAGCTATGGAATCACCACCTCCTGCTGCCGTAAATACAAGGATGAAGCATAGGGTGTGAGCAAAACAAGCTCTCATGAAAGGAGTTTCCCCTCCCTGCGCGTGACTGTGACAGTGTTGTTGATGGCACTGAAATACACAGCCACTTGGCAAGTTCTACTTTTTTTGCACACATATTCAGCAGTTGAGATCCGGCAAGCACAGCCGCAAAGCCTTGACATGCATATGGCTGGCATCTTGGTTACATTTCAATGCAAGATGGCACTTATCGTCCTCCCAACACGATTGTTCCACCACCAGCTTCAATGCCTTGTGCAATGGCACACAGCTTGCAGAACTTGACCAGGTCAACACACAGATCTGTGGACACTTCAGGGTGTTCACCAGGACTTGTAGCCCCAAACTGCTGCAGGAAACACTGACATCCGCAGGGCATCCATACACAGTGCAGTTGGGGGATGCACACAAGAATGAGGGATGGTGAATGCAGAATCTGTGACCGGCACAGCCCTCTCTAAGCAACAGGACAGAAGCAGCCAGACGCGAGTCCCCAGCAGGCCAAGGGACTAAAAGTTCGCGTTCTGCAACAACCACAAGCACGTGCACAGATGCGGGCCCTGCTGGGGAAGAAGCCAGGCAATGCTTCCTCACCTCCTGGGCTTGGTCCACTGATGCGCCCTTTTCCAACAACAGCGCCACGGTGCTCGTGTGCTGTTTGAATGCTGCCCAACTGAGGGCCGTCCAGCCCCTCTGTGCATCAAACACAAAGACAAGGATGTCAAAGGGCTCCAGGGACCCGAAGCACTTAACAAGCACCAGCATTCGTCGATTCGCATCTCCAACACACCATTCTTGGACAGTTCGAACGGGTGCATCATAGAGTGCAGTACATTGTGCACTGCCGCTTGGATATCTCAGGCAACTTGGTTACAGTTCAAATTGCCATAGCTGGAGGCCCTCTATCGACATCTCCAACACACCTGGGGCATCCTAGCGAATAAGCAAGCCCAGGTGCGCATGACGCGCGCCTCCCAGAAGAGTTCAAGCATTATGACAACACTCTGGAATATGTTTGGTGATTAAGCTCCTCAAAAGCAGCACACGACTGGTGGAAGTGGGCTTCAAGTCAGCAACATGGCTGAAAACACCGGATTTGGACCAAATAAAAGCACGTGCGCAGATTGCACGACATAAAAATTGCATTGACTGATTGGCTGAAGGATGCATGCATTCACGGTGCTGCGTGCTTGCGCATGATTGTGATTGTGGTGTTGTGCACGTTTCGGACAACCAGCAGATGAGTCCTGATGCCGCCTGTTGTGGATGGAAGGGCAGCACAAAATACAAATACGACCCCTCCACTGTGACAATCAATGCCTGCAAGCTGCCAAGGGGACCTTTTCTTCTCATGTCCTGCTGACAATTGTCAGCTATGGAATCACCACCTCCTGCTGCTGCAAATGCACAAGGATGAGGCATAGAGTGTAAGCAAAACAAGCTCTCATGAAAGGAGTTTCTCCTTCCTGCGCGTGACTGTGACAGTGTTGTTGATGGCACTGAAATACACAGCCACTTGGCAAATTCTACTTTTTTTGCACACATATTCAGCAGTTGAGATCCGGCAAGCACAGCCGCAAAGCCTTGACATGCATATGGCTGGCATCTTGGTTACTATTCAGTACAAGATGGCACCTGTCGACCTCCCAACACGATTGTTCCACCACCAGCTTCAATGCCTTGTGCAATGGCACACAGCGTGCAGAACTTGACCAGGTCAACACACAGATCTGTGGCCACTTCAGGGTGTTCACCAGGACTTGTAGCCCCAAACCGCTGCAGGAAACACTGACATCCGCAGGGCATCCATACACAGTGCAGTTGGGGGATGAACACAAGAATGAGGGATGGTGAATGCAGAATCTG